GTTAACGATCAAACTTTATCTACACTCTGACGGTTAACGATCAAACTGTAAACCGTTGGATCACACGTTCGTTTCATCACTATTGATCAAGAATTGTCCATCTGTCTCCCATGAAAATGTGAAACATCGTCGTGATGCATCTAACGCACATCTTGTCTCGACCCTCAGCTCTATGCTACAGGATACGGAGCTGGGGGCAGACTGGGGATCGGAGGCACGGAGTCCGTGTCCACGCCGACTCTGCTGGAGTCCATCCAACACGTGTTCATCAGGAAAGTGGCCGTGAACTCCGGAGGGAAGCACTGCCTGGCGCTGTCCTCTGAGGGGGAAGTCTACTCGTGGGGGGAGGCAGAGGACGGAAAGCTGGGTCACGGGAACCGCAGGTCCGGATCAGATGAAACCCTTTCACACAACACACACACACACAATGTCAACATGACGCCATTAGTTGGGTTTCCATTCACCAGTTTTTATGCACATACTGAAGTGTTGCATTAGAAAAGCTGTGTGCAAAAGGAAAAACTCCTCACTTGTCTTTGTTGAGAAAGAGTTAATGAGTGAAATCGATCATGGAAACACTTTGCAGAATACATTCTGAAGTAGAGAACTTTTAACTGATCAGCTGTTTCTGCTCTCGTCGTCTTCCTGTAGACGTATTTATATTGTCTTCTTCTTCCTGGAGAAGTATTTATATTGTCTTCTTCTTCCTGGAGAAGTATTTATATTGTCTTCTTCTTCCTGGAGAAGTATTTATATTGTCTTCTTCTTCCTGGAGAAGTATTTATATTGTCTTCTTCTTCCTGGAGATGTATTTATATTGTCTTCTTCTTCCTGGAGATGTATTTATAGTGTCTTCTTCTTCCTGGAGAAGTATTTATATTGTCTTCTTCTCCAGACAACTTGAAACATGTCCAACACAAGCTCACAAGGCGACTGTGGCTCACTGGGTTAAGAGGGTTGTCTGGGTCAACGAAGGTCAACGGTTCAATCCTCGACTGGGACATGTCACGTGTCGTAGTGTCCCTGAGCAAAACACTGAGCGCTCGGGCGCCTGTCATTGGCAGCCCACTGCTCCCTATATACAGGGATGGGTCAAATGCAGAGACAAATTTCCCCCTTAAAGGGATCAATATAGTATAATAAATAAAAAAAATAATAAATAAACTTGATTCAACACTTGATGAACACTGGTTCACAACCTCGACTTCTTCTTCTACTCTGTCGTGAAATATAGAAACCAGCAGAGTTTATTCACTCTAAACCAGTTGATGAAACACGCCTCATTTCAAAAAGTTCACTCATAATTTGCTTGAGAGTTGAATTGGAAAACACGACTAGTGTGAAGACTTGTTTTTATTCTCTAAATCCACAATCCCATTCATTTCTTCATCGAAACGTTTTATTTCAGCACCGACTGCTCTGCTGTGGTTTAACACGTCTTTGGTCAAATTCTTCTCTTTTAAGAAGAAGCTACATGATGTTGAGTGTGATGAAAACTAATAATGTACCACAAGAAGGGAACATGGTCAGATTTAAATCAATTATTTAAAATGTAATAACTTATTTCACCTTTTCATTAGTCGGCAGAAAGACGACTTTCCTTAAATAAAGCCAGCCGATCTCTTTGTTTATGAGTCCTGTGAATGCGTCGCGTCGCTGAAGACGCCTCTAGTTTCTATGCTCACGACTCTTTCTTGTCTTCAGCCCCTGCGACCGTCCTCGTGTCATCGAGTCCCTGAGGGGGGTGGAGGTGGTGGACATCGCGGCCGGAGGGGCTCACAGCGCCTGCATCGCGGCCAGCGGAGAGCTCTTCACCTGGGGGAAGGGTCGCTACGGACGGCTGGGACACGGAGACAGCGAGGACCAGCTCAAACCCAAACTGGTGAGAGACCGCTTCCTGTCACTCGACTCTCGGCTGAATTCATGTTCTATAGAACGCTAACGATCGTCAGTAAAACTTCATTTACACTGTGATGGTTAACGTTAAACTGTTGGTCTGAGGTTCACATGCGTGTAGAACTGTGAGGAGGATCAGTCTGGATTAGAGATCCACAACGGTCCACGACACCACTAGTCATGAATGTCTGTCACTGTTTCCTCAGACAGTCACTGATGTTTGTGTGCTTCCTCCAGGTGGATGCTCTGCAGGGTCACCGGGTCATCGACGTAGCCTGCGGAAGCGGAGACGCCCAGACGCTGTGTCTCACGGACGATGACATGGTCTGGTCCTGGGGGGACGGGGACTACGGCAAACTGGGCCGAGGAGGAAGTGATGGCTGCAAAATCCCCATGAAGGTCAGTGAGCTGTGTTCACTGGAGGCTCTCAGGAGCTTCACTGTGTACCTCATGTCTTCTGTAATGAGACCAGCTAGTAGGTTAGCTTAGCATAAGTACTTGAAACAGGGGGAAGTGGCTAGCCTAGAATTTAAAAAGAACACGTTTTAAATGGATGATCCCATCGCATGTTGAAACACATAATAATATAATGTACTTTAGTTATAAAGCACTTTCATATCAGAGATGCAGATCAAAGTGTTTAAGATAAAATGTGACACATTAAAACAAGAGACAATAAAAAGATGTTGGATGGTAAAATAAAGCCATTAAGAATAATACAAATATAAATAAGATTGATCTAAATTATTAGCCAGATTAAATAAATAGGTCTTCAGCTGTCGTTAACGCTCTTCATGGCGTATTCTATCATTGTGAAGCACAGTTTAAAAATGGCTGCATTGGCTGTTTTCTTTTTGTGTATTTAAAAACCATCAGCAGAAGATCTGTGACGTAGGCCGCTCCCAAAACCTGTAAAAGAACCTCAACATCCAATACAAGATACTGGGAGATGGATTATACCCTCGTTTTGGTTCTAAGGCACAGTTCTTAATAATAATAATATATAATATGTTGTGACGGTTTCATTAGACCAGTTAAAAGAGCTCCGCTATGACGACTGATGAACTGGTTCCTTGTGTTTCAGATCGACTCTCTCACGGGCCTCGGCGTGGTCAAAGTGGAGTGCGGCTCTCAGTTTTCTGTGGCTCTCACCAAGTCTGGAGCCGTGTACACGTGGTACGTACAGCGCGTCCGTCACCGTTGTTTTTGTTGTTGTCGGCTCAGCGGAGCTTAACGCAGCGTGTGGTTCCTCAGGGGGAAAGGAGACTATCACCGGCTCGGCCACGGCTCCGACGACCACGTTAGACGACCGCGACAGGTTCAGGGGCTGCAGGGGAAGAAGGTCATCGCCATCGCCACGGGGTCACTGCACTGTGTGTGCTGCACAGAGGACGGTAGGAGACATCTTACTGTGTGTGTGTGTGTGTGTGTGTGTGTGATCAGTTTATTCTAAAGTTGTTTACATGAACTTAATATTCCCTTTTTTGCTCTTATTCCTAAAAAGGACAATATATCCTAATAATCTGTTTAGATGGCAAATGAAGATGAATTTATGGGCGGCACGGTGGTGTGGTGGCTACAAGCATGAGGGGCCCGGGTTCGATTCCCGGGATAGACGGGCCCTCTGCGTGGAGTTTGCATGTTCTCTCCGGGTTCTGCAGCTCAGGTTAACTGAGGACTCTAAATTGCCCGTAGCTGTGACTGGTTTTCTCTACATGTCAGCCCTGTGATAGTCCGGCTACCGGACCAGGTGAACCCTGCCTTCACTCTATGTCAGCTGGGATCTATTTAAATAGAAGAATAGAGAGTGTGTCTCGAACATTGTTGGTGGATACATCAACAATACGACCTACAGCTCCGCCCTCTTTTATACCAACATATCACACGTCTTCATCAGAAAACGAGGCCTGATTCTGAATATTCCACACGTTTCCATATCAAATTCAGAATACTGTCATATTGAGAGGAATGTCATGGTGCTGAGTGGAGGCCCTGTGCTTGTGTTTGGGCTGCAGGAGAAGTGTACACATGGGGGGACAACGACGAGGGCCAGCTGGGAGACGGGACCACCAACGCCATCCAGAGGCCCCGGCTGGTGGCCGCGCTGCAGGGCAAGAAGATCAACAGGGTGGCCTGTGGCTCCGCTCACACCCTCTCCTGGTCCACCAGCAAGCCCACCAACGCCGGGAAGCTGCCCGCTCAGGTGATCACGTCTCCGCCCACGTGCTTCCAGTAGATGGCGCTAAAGCGTCGCTTTGAACTAAATGTCTGACTGTCTGAGTTGGTGTGTTCAAGGTCCCCATGGAGTACAACCACCTGCAGGAGATCCCCATCATGGCCCTGAGGAACAGGCTGCTGCTGCTGCATCACATCTCCGAGCTCTTCTGCCCGTGCATCCCCATGTTCGACCTGGAGGGTCGGCTGGGCCAGACGGGCCACGGACCCCCGGTGGGCTTCGACACGCTCAGAGGCATCCTCATCTCTCAGGGCAAGGTGAGACAGCACGAACCGCCAGACCCAGAAACACATTAACGCCACTAGAAACATGGAGTTCATGTCTCTTTCAGGCTCACGGAGTCAAATGTGTAAGTCTGTTTTGATTTCATAGACGCGTGTCAGAGACCAGCAAGTTTAACTACGTGTTGGTAAAAGTGAGCAAGTTTAGAATATCTTTTTCAGAAGACTTTCAACCGATCATTCCGTCCAATACACACCCATTTTAAATCTGAGACGGTCCCTTTATTTTCCTGAAGATTTTGGGAAAACCGTGCCCGCTATCAAAATTCCCATTTGGCCCAAAGTCCAGAGTCTCGTGAACCTTTTAAACTAAATAATTGTTCTACGTTAAAGTGACCCATCAGTACGGGCTCAACAGTGAGCGTGTTTGAGCTCTCTTCACACCCGTGTGTGGACGTTTTTGTGATTTTAATGAAATGTCTGGACGAATCTCTTGGAAGTCACAGCACAACGTTCTCCATCATTCCACACGTCGTGATGTCGGTTGTGCTCGTGTGTTGGCAGAAGAAGAGAAGAAGAATAAATGTTATCTGTCTGTGAACAGGAAGCAGCGTTCAGGAAGGTGGTTCAAGCCACGATGGTGCGAGACAGACAGCATGGACCGGTGGTGGAGCTCAACAGGATACAGGTAGGAAATACTTGAGTCCTCCTGCTCCTCCTCCTCCTCCTCCTCCTCCTCCTCACTGTGAGTGTAACATGTGATGTCTTTCATAAGAGGATTTTTATGTGGTGTGTGTGTGTGTGTATATGTCTGTAGAGGTTCCTGGACTTGTAGACTTGACTCCACATCGTCTCGGTTCAAGACTCTGACCCCCCCCCCTCCCGTCTATGTAGCAGGAAGTTATTAAACGCAGAAACAAATCAAAACTGTCATTTCTTCTTTTTCTTCTCTTCTCCTCCTTCTTCTTCTTCCTCTTCTTCACCCCTCAGGTGAAGCGATCTCGTAGTAAAGGAGGTCTGGCCGGTCCGGATGGGACCAAGTCCGTGTTTGGTCAGATGTGTTCTAAGATGAGCTCGTTCAGCCCCGACAGTCTGCTGCTGCCTCACCGCGTCTGGAAGGTCAAGTTTGTAGGTTGGTGTTCAGACATCACGTCTCGGACGTCTTGAGACGACTCCTCATCCTTTAGCAGTGAGCTTCCCGTCACTCGGCATGTTTTTAAGCACAACTTTTCTTTTTCCATCTCAGGGGAGTCTGTGGACGACTGCGGCGGAGGCTACAGCGAGTCCATCGCCGAAATGTGCGAGGAGCTTCAGAACGCGTTGACGCCGCTGCTCATCGTCACGCCCAACGGCCGTGACGAGTCGGGCGCCAACCGGGACTGTTTCCTGCTCAACCCGGCGGCCAAGTCCGCCCTCCACATGAGCATGTTCCGCTTCCTAGGTGATCCTAGTAAACCCTAAATAAACATGCATGCTTGTTTTACACACCTGGACTGCTGAGCTTGGTTTATTACAGACATCTCTGCTCTGACAGTCTTGTGATTGTTCTGGTCTTTGAATCTGTGGCTCTGCTGCGTCTGCAGGAGTTCTGCTGGGCATCGCCATCCGGACCGGGAGCCCCCTGAGTCTGAATCTGGCCGAGCCGGTGTGGAAACAGCTGGCCGGCATGAACCTGACCATCGCCGACCTCAGTGAGGTACGTACACCACGATGAGCTCCACACTGGTGGTGTAACTGTGCATCACGGTTCATCACGCATGTACGTACAGACATTAGTTATCAAGAGAAGATCACAGAGAACAGCCTCAATGTGTCGTTTGGTTAAAGAGTTCAGAGATAGTTTTGGTGAGTTTTTAATGTATTTGGTGTCGTTTAAAGTTATGTAATCAAAGCCGTTCTTCACCAACGGGATGAGAAAATATCAAACTGTGGTGTGAATTATTCACGTGTTCCTGTTCCGTTGTAGGCAGAGAATCTCTAAAAGAGTTAACGTCAACTACACAGTACATGAAACGGTACACAAGTTTGATGCTAACTGTTACGGCTAACGTTGCGGCTAACGTTGCGGCTGCCAACACATAACGTTAGTGAGCTACATCACCAGCTCCAGCCACGCATCGTCCTTTATTTGGTCGCTGTGTGTATCTCACGTTACCAGGCTTTGAGAAAGGAACTCCCTGTTCTCAGACATTCTGTTGGAACAAAGGATTTAATTGGTCAATCAGGAATTTCTGCAGGCGGAAATCCGCTGAAACTGAGGCCCGTACGAATGTTCTGCAGGAATGTGAAAGCATTCATAGGACAAATGATGAAACGTCAACGCCAGCTCGGCTCAACTCCTGAGTCTCTGTGGGATCAAATCGACATGATCCATCAGGGAATTAAGCAAACTAAGGTCCCTTAACTTCCAGCTACAGTGAGGAACTTCCTCTCTTCATGCTGGACACCATAACTGCCTCATGATCTGCATTAGAACCTGCAGAGAGAACACATTCCTTTACATTCCTGCTCAGATTAAACCTTAAGCTCCTCTGTGAGAAACTCATTCCTGCAAATCCTCGTTCACTCCAAGCCAAAGAAGTCCTGATCCACAATCTGAGCTTTTGTTGTGAGTCCACTCCTGTTCCCTCACGCTGAGATCATGAGCTCCTGAACCGTCGCTGAGAGAGAACTGGAGAGGCTTCACACAGCTGCTCTTGTCTTGTTTTATGCCCTTGAGATATTATAAATGTTAGAGACGAGGAGCTCACGGGAGCTGTGACGCCAGCACGAGGGCTCCAACACGCACAAAGAGAGAGGAATGTTTCCACCAGGTGATGCTCTGGGTCATCAGGACACATTAAAGAGACAGAGGGTCACATCCAGAGGAGTCAATGGCAGACACGCAATATACTATTCTATAAGTACTATGTTTTAATCAGTGTAGAATCACCTGAAACTAAGAATCTGTGTTTTATTTACACAACTACACACACACACACACACACACAAGCTAACGTTAGCTTGACACAAACTATGAACTGTATGCTACTTAACACTAAATATAGTAATAGCACAACACCCGATATCTTAAGATCAGCACGTTATAAAGTTATTAATATCCAGTGAGATATTATCGGCCGTCGCCATCTTGGTTTTTTTGCAACCAGTGAACAGGAAGTGACCATATTAGGACTGAGGAGGAGTGACGTAGAGACGCCGTATACGTCTCTGGTAGAGACCTGTCAATCACTGTGTAGCCCCGCCCTAAAGCATCCCCTGCTTTATGGTCTGTGTGACTCTAAATGGACCATAATGTACTAAATGAACATCATGCTGTATTGAAGAAGACTTGAAACTAGAGATTGAGACCATAAACTCATGTTTACAATGTTTACTGAGGTAATAAATCAAGAGAGAAGTAGAGTCATTTTCTCATAGACGTCTATGTCACTAAATCTCACACTGCTCCTGTTTTAACGTTCTTCTCTGTAACGTCTCAGGTCGATAAGGATTTCATTCCCGGCTTGATGTACATCCGGGACAACGAGGCCACAGCGGAGGAGTTTGAGGCCATGACGCTTCCCTTCACGGTGCCCAACGCCAGCGGACAAGACATCCAGCTGAGCTCCAAGTACTCACACATCACCCTGGAGAACCGCGCAGAATACGTCCGCCTGGCTATTAACTACAGGTGAGAGAATCAGCCGAGTCAGCAGAACGTACTCTCTCTCTGGTTGTGTTTTAATGTCCTGTCTCCCCCCCCCAGGCTCCATGAGTTTGACGAGCAGGTGTCGGCGGTCAGAGAGGGGATGGCTCGAGTAGTTCCCGTCCCTCTGTTGTCTCTGTTCACCGGATACGAACTGGAGACGATGGTCAGTGAGAGCTGATTGTTACCTGTCGTTGTCTCTGTGTCCTCCGGCTGTGTCCTGGTTTAGTAAGTCCCCCGCCCTCTGTCCTCAGGTGTGTGGAAGCCCAGACATCCCGCTCCACCTGCTGAAGTCCGTGGCCACGTATAAAGGGGTGGAGCCCACGTCGTCGCTCATCCAGTGGTTCTGGGAGGTGATGGAGTCCTTCTCCAACACGGAGCGGTCTCTCTTCCTGAGGTTCGTCTGGGGGCGCACGCGTCTGCCGCGCACCATCGCCGACTTCCGGGGGCGGGACTTTGTTGTGCAGGTATGAAGTGCAAGTATGAAGGTAGAAACCACTGCATTCAGTTCCTTCAAATGTCCTCATAGACTTCGATACAACCAGAGGAGTCGCCCCCTGGTGGTCAGTAGAGAGAATGCAGCTTTACATGAAGCTTTGACTTCACTTTAAAGAACCGGAGGGTGTAGCTGTTCAAATTCACCAAAGTCTCACATTAACACATGTTGGAGGCTCCTGTGCTGGAAAACCTAAAGCTGGATTTATAGCCATCGTAAAGGGTTAACAGGGGTCCTTTAGTCTGGTCTGCATGGAGCCTCCGTACGGAGTAGCCCCTTAAACACAGCAGTATAAAAGCAGCCTATGGAGACCTCAGAGCGCCGTCTTCTCTGTCCCCCTTGCAGGTGCTGGATAAGTACAACCCTCCCGACCACTTCCTGCCCGAGTCCTACACCTGCTTCTTCCTGCTCAAGCTGCCCAGGTACTCGTGCAAACAGGTGCTGGAGGAGAAGCTCAAATACGCCATCCACTTCTGCAAGTCCATCGACACCGACGACTACGCCCGCATCGCGCTGTCCGGTGAGCCGGCCGCCGACGACAGCAGCGAGGACTCGGACAACGAGGACGCCGACTCCTTCGCCTCAGACTCCACCCAGGACTACCTGACGGGACACTGAGGAGGAGGTCTACCTGACGGGACACTGA